AGGTGGGGTCGTTACTATGTAGAATCCCTGTAAAAATACGTACCAGCCCCAGTCCATAATCCACATTAAAAGGTGGTCTAAGCTCAATTTCATCAGGTACCTGCCACTTAGCCACTCAACTACAAGCCCCACAGGTCCTGTGTCAAAGCCACAAGGGGCTGAACCTCGAGTGGATCCTCCCACAAGCGAGCCCACACAACTCAAGTTTTTGAGATTTTTCCCTATTTTCAATTTCGGTATCTTTTCGCATTATCGCAACCACCACCAACAACACCACAATTCCGAATCCCAACCACCTTTGCGACTTCGACAAAACATCGCAAACATGGCGACGGAATTAACTGTTCAGTCGGAGCGTGCTTTCCAGAAGCAGCCCCATATCTTCCAGAACTCCAAGGTCAAGGCCAAGTCCACGCGACCTGGCAAGGTGAGGCGACACCACTATCTCCCCGTCTGATTGACGAAGCCTTTTGCTGACGATCTTACTCTTCAGGGTGGCCGCAGATGGTACAAGGACGTCGGTCTAGGCTTCCGAACCCCCAAGACCGCCATTGAGGGAAGCTACATCGGTACGTGAATAGAATACGCGAAGATTAGTTGGGAAAAGATTCGGGATGTTTTATATCTTAGGATGGGCTATGAGATCAACATGATGGTTGTTTCGGATCACACGAAGCTTGCGACCGAGGACAACGGATTTCTACAAGCGATGAGAGACCATGAAGCTAATTCTCGTGTCAACACAGACAAGAAGTGCCCTTTCACCGGTCTCGTCTCTATCCGTGGCCGTATCCTGACCGGCACCGTCGTCTCCACCAAGATGCACCGAACCGTCATTATCCGACGCGAGTACCTCAAGTTCATCCCCAAGTACGCCCGTTACGAGAAGCGACACAAGAACTTGGCCGCGCACGTCTCGCCGGCTTTCCGTGTTGAGGAGGGTGATCAGGTTACAGTTGGCCAGTGCAGACCTCTGAGCAAGACTGTACGTTATCCCTTACATTTTCTCCAATGTTATTGGCGTGCCATACCATGCCATGGACGAAACGGCTACCAACTGAGACGCATTGCTAACTTGTAAACGCAATAGGTCCGATTCAACGTCCTTCGTGTACTTCCCCGAACCGGCAAGGCGGTGAAGAAGTTCAGCAAGTTCTAAGTTGGGGATCTTTCCTGGGCATCGACGGCGTTGTTACTTCATGGTTCTTCATGATCTCAGATTCGGAACGGGTGATTCATAGGCTTTCTGCCAGGGCACATAGATGCAGCATGGGCAGTTCTGAGAAATAAAAAGGATACACTAAATCTTATACGCGTTCCGGAATGATGTAACCGGTTTGACAAACTCCTACTTACGGCCAGCAAGCTCTGAGGTGAAGGACGTGAATTTAGTAGGCCATCCGAATTTGTTAGTTTGGGACCGCATACGGATGATTCAACTTGAATCCGTTTGAAACCCAAGCACCCCGCTACGCTCTCTTAAGCGTCCACTGGCTTCAATTTCTTAAGGCCTATCTGATTCGTGACTCGTCTGTAAGACCTGGGGAATGACTTTTCCTCAAGCAAAAATTATGATATCCCGCCTCTCCATAATTGACTCAGTATCCATCTAAACTCCACTCGCTATACTGATTCCAAATTCCGAGCAGTCATACGTTGTAGTACTTGTAGAACAACAATGGAGCTTCTAGCCTTTGTAGGGAATATTGTCTATCATAGTACAAAAACATTATATCTCACAGTCTACTGAGAAAAACACAAACAGCGAGAAAGTAGTGATTAGTCTTGTGATCATGAATGAGCCTTGCCTACCTCCTAAATGACAAAGTTATTTATTGAAGATGTCACAATACTCGCCCATGTTGTAGCCGAGCGCATGATAAGGATGACACAATATATCCGTAGGTTCTCCAGTTCTGTCTCGTTCATATATGCGTAAATCGTCATTGCAGATTGCTTTCTGCAAGGTAGTTTCCGGCTAAATAGGAGGGTAACGAGAAACTTCACAGTTTAATAGAAGGATAATGCATGAAAGACTGTGGTTTACTCTATGTTGGTTTCATGGAGCCTCCGTAAACGTATGGTTGCCGAGAATGAGGAGTGCTGGCCATGTGGGCAATAGTGTCATTTTATTCATTCTATCATGGCGAAGACTTCCTGACACGATGCGTCCTGAGTAGAGATCAACCTTGCAGCATTCTAGTCAAGTTTCACTATACAGCCTTAACTCCTGCAATCCAGGCAGTAATTAGCCGCCCATTAACCTTTCGTCATATCAGTAACATAGTCTACCATGTCCATCATGTCGATACACATTGACTACATCCTCACTATTGTCACAACGTTAGCTGTATAGGTATGAAGATTTTCTTGGTATCCTCACCGTAGGAAACGCGACCCGTTGTATAGCAAACTTCGATTGGGTTCACCATTCAAGATATCTCGCGGACGTGTCTATATCGAAATGGGAAAACATCCCCTGAGATTGGTGTAGTACTAGAGCTTACAACTTAGATAGACTGAGAATAAAGGAACAAAGTACTTCGAGTATTGATAGCTTGATTTACATCTGACCCCATCTTCCCACCGGATACTCCGCCGCGTGCTCATGCAAATAGGGACCGAAATATAAATTCTGTGACGACCTTTGAGTAATAGTATGACCCCTCGGTCATTATATTTATGGTAGGACTAGTAATTGACTATGGAGTACAGAAAGAATATGGTGGGTAAAAAGAAAGCTATCCGCTTGGGCCTAAAGACCGATGTAATAGAGGTAATTGTGAGGTATTCTAGATTTATCTCTACGAGAAACTTACAAAGCCTCATTCACATCCTAGTAGAAGTCTTGCTCTTATATACGACAGTGAGTAGACGGGTTACAACATACAGATTTTGAATTTGTTGAAGGGTAATAACATTTCTAACTTCAATCAAGTTGGTATTAATTAACTCGGTAGCTTGTATTCCGGTTGACCGGGCAGTCAAGCTACCTATATTCGAAACGTATCTAATCACCGCATAAACCTACAAAATAAACTGGACAGACAAAATTTCAAGTCAGTGAAAGAGTAACTAGATAAGATTTGCTATGATACTATTAATTGTTAGGGGAATCCTAGCCAAGCGCCAGAGTGAAGATACGACACTCTTTAATAGACGCGTATATCAAAAATACTTAGACACATTCATAGTCACATTATATGTTGACACTAGGATGATCAACTACATACCTTAAAAGTTACTTGGTTAAGAGTTCATCAATGGTTACAAGCTTCCTGAAGCCAGTGTTATGCTCGTGGTGGTCATCGTCCGGCTTGTAATAACGCGGAACTGAAGTCACAATAATCGAATTATTCCACTTAAATGCATATCAAACTCCGATAACGATAACGAACTTTTTGACATTACGCACCTTCAAGGTTCCCTCAATGTGACTAGAGAAAGCTCTACGGAGCCCAACTGACAATTTACCTCTTCTCCTAGACTTCGATATCCGTCATGGGCTGGTGGGATAGTCTCTGGGCGTCGAACTCGAGCGGCGAGGACCCGCTGCGCAAGCTCGACCCCAAGCTCCGCGAATTCCTCGAGCGGGAGTCGCCCGTGAAGTACAGCACCGCACAGCAGCCGCAGCCCCCCACCGCAAAAGAAAAGAAGCAAGCCGCCGCCGCAGCAGCAGCGAAAGCGCAAGCCGAAGAGACGCAAGCGGATAGACCCGTCGTGCCCAGGGAGAGCCAATTCCAAGACGGACGCTATGCGCACCTGTGGAAGACGTACAAGCCGCTGGCCGAGATCGAGGCCGCGACCAAGAGCGACCACGAGAAGCTGATGGACGTGCTGGAGGCGTACAAGGAGCGCAAGAACCAGATCGGCAAGGCGGCGCTGGAGAACTGCGCGCTCGAGCAGCTGGACTGGCGGCAGTGCATGACGAACCCGTCGTTCTCGGAGCGCATGACGATGTGTCGCGACCAGATCAGGAAGTTCGAGAGGTGCTATATGATGCAGAGTGTAGGTTTTCACCTTCAAAATATCCACTCTACTCTATTTTTACTACGGCTTGGGATGGACTGTGCTGACTAGATGTCTATTTGCTGTTAATGTAGAGATTATTGAAGGCCCTAGGCTACCTATCGACCTACGACCGCTCCCCCGAAGTCGAAGAAGACATCCAATTGCACGCCGACACACTGTACCACCGCTTGCTGTCACAAGAAGCCGAGATCGCGGCCGCGAAGAAAGAAGGCCGCCCGATACCCCAGTTCCCACCGATATTACCGCGAGTGTCCGTCGCGGCGGATCAGCAGCAGAAACAGCTACAGCAGGAGGATGACTTAACGCCGGAACAACGGTCGATACTGAAGGAACGCTTAAAAAAGGTCGCCGAAGAAGACCGGGACGCGGAAGAAGAGGCCTACAGGGCGGAGCTGCGCGCAAAGGCCGAGGTCGCGACGCGGGTGCAGGATCTATGGAAGAAACAGGAGCAGGAAAGACAGGAGCGCAGGGAGAGAGGAGAGGAGACGTTATGGGATAAACTGAGTGGGACTTTCCGGAGCAGTGATGGGAAGCGGTGACATGCGCTTCTTCACTCTACCATCTGAGATATGCTATAGGTAACCTCTCGACACCAAGCTTATGAAGACTTCGGGAGATGATGAATATATCGGATGTAGCTCTGACTTGCAGGACTACTTGTTGGATTGTATTATACCTGTACTGGACACATATGTGTGTATACTACGGCCATCTGAGATAATGCGACTCCAAACAAATACATCAAGATAGTATAACAAGACATGGCCTCTATGCGATTTAGTTGTGGGGACTGCGTATCTAAAATGATCCTCAGAAAACGGGTCTAGAGTTTCGTAGCTATTTTGATTTTCGATTACTCCAATTGAAGCTGATTTTGAGTGTGCCTTCGAAAAAAATCATCTATTCATTTATTTCAGAAAGGAATCGAGTCAATAAAAAAAGTTCAATCATCTTGTTTTGATAAATGAAGGTCTCCCTGGGAATCGAACCCAGATTGGCGGAATGTTTAAATCAGGAATCTTTTTCGATCCAAGAATCAGAATCCGCAGTGCTAGCCATTACACCAGGAAACCTGTGATTGGTGATTGGTGATTTTCAAGGCTCGAAATATTGGCCTAAGTATGAAAAGGCGCGGCACGGCACATACGGAGACATTTTAGCCGAACCAAACAGAAAGGATTTCATCGCCAAGAACAAGCCGAGTAATTGTATTTTATTCTTTATTTACATACATCCACCTAGTGCATTAGGCAGCACGAAGATAAACCTCTAAAACAAAAAGCACAAGTAAAATATAGATTCAATCAGTCAGTCCAAAATGAAGTAGAGTAGAATCAGGAACGTAGTATTATCATGGGGCATGTCTTAGATGAAGCAGTTAGAGGGAGAAATGGTGCAACATCGGACGAATGAACTGGCGTCAGTTTGTACCTAGTCGCAAATCACCTACTTCAAGAGGATCAACAAAAAGCCTTGGCTGCTTGGCTACAATTTGATGATTAACATGACGGACTGGAGGATGGGCGAAAAAATTAGGGTCCCGTTTAGCAGCTCTTGGGGGAACATGCGCCGCCAAGAGATCGCCAAGACATGAGGCAAATGCTTATTTCGACAAGTTGGACCCGAAATAGAACGGATGCTGGACTTCATCTTACTCTCGTTGTTGTGGTTGTCGTTGATAGCATCTTTCCGGGCCTGGGAAGACGTCTCGCGACACGTGCTGGCGATTGGAGCTGCTTGTAACACGGCGAATTGGTCAAGAATCGATCACTCAGCACCGCCTTCAAGCTCGCAATGCCAAGAACGATGATGAATAAGAACAGCAGGGATTTATATCTCACTTTGGCCCAGCACAGGGTAAATAATGGCCATGAATATTCGTTGAAATACTTCGATTCATAAAAGCAATTCTCACTACCAAAAGACAGGGCTTGCCCGTCTGCTACCAGCGATATTTATTTCATTTGATCCCCAATACCGCAATATCCCCTGGGTTTTCCGTGCTGACACATACATCGGTGCATGCTCACGCCGCCATTGTGATCCTAGGCGGGGTCGGTGGTTCGATCGATATGTTGGTGCGATGTGGCGCTTGTTTCACAGCACTGCGGGAATATTCTATACGGTAGGGAGGTCAATGGCTGGGCGTTTAGCAGCAGCCTTCGTCGCAGGCGCAGAGACCACAGCAGATCTCACAGCCGGCCTCTTCACCACCACGCAGGTTGCCGAATTGAGGTTGGGGCTCAGTGGCCTATTCGTGAAACAAGAGTGTCAATTGGGCTCCTCGGTATGACTTACAACACATTGGTGAGAGGGGTAGAAGAAAGGCTTACGGGTTGTTGCGTAACGACGCCAGTGGTGGAGGTCATCTCCATGGGAGCTTGCTGCTGGGGTTCTTCGGGAGAAGGCATCTTGATGGTAGTCTTTTTGAAAGGATCGATCTGAGAGCGTACGACGTAAGTAGAGAATGACGGATGGCAGACAGACTAAAATGGGCGACTATGACGAGAGAAACAGGAGTGCGGACAAGAGCGGTGAGGATGTCTTTTTGTATGTTGGAGAGATGATGGGGAGGCCGCCCTTTATCAGTTGGCGGATATAACGGCAATGGAAGGTAGGCTGGTCCAATGATCCTACCTTCAGTTTATAGGCTTTCCAGGCTTTGTTTGGGTGTACAGTCACGCATCAAACAGGGGCTAGACCCCAGAACTTTAACAGGTTTCTAGGTGAATTGTATGGGACCCTTGTCTTGATTGGAAACAGCGCGGCGCCAGACCAATCTGCAAGCCTGGAAGCCACGATGTTCGAAGATGTTTGCCGGGTCCCCATTGAATGAACTTTGAAGATCCTTAGGGGACATCAAATAATACGACTGTCTGTATGTAGGTACTTGCCTGACTTACCTTAGAGTAGGCAAGTCCGCCGTTGTCATCCAGTCTTTGTCGTCAGCACTTGCGTTGCTAATCCATTGGATGTGGCGTCCTTGAAAGTCCTCACCCGCTCATTTGCATGATACCTCTAATTGGGGATGGGCTTGCAGCTCGTACGGAGCCAATCATTTCCCCACGATGCCCTGATACAGGAGAGCAATAACTCTGCTGCGCCTACAAGTCATTGTCCCCAGATCTTCAGTAAAGCTGAGAAATAATGACCTGTCAGTTTGGTTGGCTCGTTTATAATATCTCACTTGTATGCTCGTATACGAATAACCGATAAGAGAGCTCTAAGCGCGTTCTTTATCATAAGATAGATCTAGAATGCTTACCAAAGATACGACAGCCCGCAATTGGCGCTGTTGTACAAGTAACAGCTCAATTGGAAGATAATATTGTGGCTATGTATGCCCTCCCTAGTACATGTATGCACATGTCTTGCTTCTCGTAGATACGGATTGAAATCTGCAGAGTTATTCTCCACCAATCCCACTCTCGTAGTACAAGTCCTACCAACTGATACTATGATAGCCAATATTAGATTGAAGGGGATAAATATGATATGGGTCTCTGTTGATCTTTCCAGGTCCTTCGGCAGTGCTATAGGAGGTTGACGTAGGCAGTTTAGCTAGGACGCTTCTATCTGCTAGAGAACCTGGTAGAAATGTGTGATTCTCCCTTAGTCTTCGAATAGTTCCGTAATGGCTGTATGCCCCAATGTAGGTTTGGACCATTTGGAGTAAATGGAACTTGCCGAATTCCGAGGTCGGTTAAGCTCGGTGGACATCCATGGATATTTATGGTACGACATTGCGCGTCAATTGGAAGTATCAACCTGTATATAATCCGAATAGCCCCCATAAACCGTTCTCATAGAACCGATGATACCAATCTTACCAACGGATTTCAGGTAGATGATTGTTTTCGGACTTGTCAAAGTGGCTGGACTCACAGTCGGATGATACAAGAAGGTTCAGTTATTCGGGCTTAGGTGAGCCCCCAACCCAATGCATTGATGCTCTATCGATAATCATAACCACTACCGTATTATGTAAGTCCATGCAAGAAATCGTATATGCAGGTATCCCTTCGCAACCGCCATTGTACACGCCCAAACCCGATCGTACCCAATCCCACTCAAGTCAACAAGCGAGCGGAGTCGGAAACAAACACCATGCATCCTTAGTGCAATGCAATCCATCCATCCATCCATCCATCCATCCATCAATCAATCAATCAATCAATCAGACGATGCAGTCCATAATGTCGCAGGACTCCTAAGCGTGCTGGGGCCGGCTTTCTAGCTCATACGAGCCTCCGGTAGCCTGCGGCGCATAGGCAGGAACGGAGTATCCGTACTGAGGCGGCGCCGGCGAAGGGACGGGCGAGGGAGACTTGTACTCGGTGCTGACGCCAGGATGGTAGTATCCAGCTTGCGGCGCGCCGTACTGGGCTTCCGCTAAACCAGGGTTTGCGGTCGGTGCGTAGTTACCGCCCCGCAATGTGCCCGTTCGCTTGCGATGGACGAGCATTGCTCCATGGATGAGCTGTAGCAAGGACGTCGCACTGCTTTGATATTAGCTAGGTACGTGCTTCATGGCCACATAGCCGGGTCCCGGCTACTTCGCCTCGGCATGTAGTGTTGATGTAGGTAAGTCTGGGAAGTTGGTAGTACATACGTTAGGACCAAGGTCAATATGATGGAGATGATCGATAGGGTGACAATATCGAGGATGAAGATGATACCCCAAACGGTGGTTTTGAGGCACGCGCTCGACAGATACAGCTCCACTGGCATGCGCTTCTTCGCAATCAGGACAATCTCGATAATATTCATGATGATGTTCACGAGGACGATAGCGATCTGGAGGCCAGCAGCCGCACTGTGTTTTCAGTTCCATGTTAGCTCATCTCATCTCAACCCAACCCAAGTCTACCTTGCCATTCAAGATCATGGGGCACGTACGTGAAAAGACTACTATATCTGTCGAGCAGATCCTCCGAATTCACCAACCACAATAGCCATGCCGACGCCGCGAGAAGGATAATGCAGACGAGGAACTGCAGGACCCAGGCAGTGATGTTGATGCCTTTCTTGTAAGGGTAATCGTGTTTGGCCATGACGTCGATTGGTGACGGCCCGCCCTTCTATACCGTACTGTGGCGTCGGTACGGATACCTAAGGTATGGCAAAAAAAAGCAAATGCTAACCGAATAAAAGAGCGAATGAAGGGGAATAAGGAAGACAAAAGCAGATGTGAAGAAAAAAGCAAAATTGAAATTTTCTTCACGAGACGAACTTTTGCATAACCGTAATTACCAGGTCGCAACTTTCCCCTGTGTTGGACGTGTTGGTTATTGTTTCTCGTGTTGGCTGTGCAGGCTGTGCAGGCTGTGTAAATGCCAAGAGAACCGGCGCGCTTTAAGGCTGACACGTTTTTAAGCGTGGTGATTGGAACTACCGTAGGACCGTAGGAAGCTCCACGGTGGGTTTAATCTTGCTTTGTTGGAAAGTTGTGCCGCAAAATATGGTCCTGATATCCATTCAATCTTTTTATATGAAGACTAACATGGTATCTTTGGCGATCCATATGTCTCAAATTCATTGAACTTGAGCTTGAGCTCTGGTGGCGTCTTAGGAAACGTAGGAGATGGCAGGAATTGTTTCCGAACGTGTTTCTCCTCAAGCTTACAGACATCAGAGTTGTTTGTGGCGTTCTTCCTCCTCTACATCTATATTGCGAAAATCATAACATCTCGAAATTTGAAGCCCTTTTCATTTCTTCTACGGAGCCAAGTCTATATCAATCTACCAAGACCCCTAGGTTAATCACAAGGGTCTAAGCGCTTTGCCAAGGCTCAGGGCTGAAGTCGAGAACCGGGATTATGGGGGGCCGAACAGTGTGCGACATAATCCCCCACGAATTGCTTGCATTCGTCTGGACTTTGGAAATAAATAAACGTTTTCGAAACTTGTCATCTCATACTCTCCACAATGTATCGATAAGCATAGCCTTATTATAGAAAGCTTGCCGTATAGTAGATTTTGACGACGTTCGGGGACCAACTACTTGGGCTAGCTTACCTCCATGTAGTGTACCTACCGATGTAGGCTCGAACTCCGAAGCGAAGACTTGGCA